TTACGATGTGTTATACATGTAGCTTCGTTTTAATCGAAAAAGGTCAAATTTCCTGACACAACTCCTCTGAGACGAAATTCCGACAGGCGACATAGGAATTTTGCGAAATGCCGACATGGCTGGTGGCGAATTTCAGACAGGGGACATGGGTACCCACCCCCAACAGCGCCTCGTTTATCTTCTCCGGTTTATCGCTGTCACGCCGATCAAACGTGAAAAGCTAACAAGGTTTAAAATAGCGGCCGACACTTTGATGACATTTGCTGGCGATTTTTTTATCGAAGAAATAGAAAGACAGAGTCGCTATGTTGTTCAAACTGAAGTCAGTTTTGTTTCCCACGGACGCGACAAGATAAACATCTCGCTCCTTTCTGACTATTATCTATAAACATTGGGTGACCATAAAACATTTCAATTTCAGGTGATAAGAATTGAGACGAATTTAAATTTTTTTCTTTTTTTTTATTTCGAGGAGTCTGCGTTTTCGGGGTCTGAGTTTTCGGGGTTCTGTTTGATCGACGCGACAGCGATATACAGGAAAAAATAAATATCTCGCTCTTTTCTGGCTGTTGCCTATGAACATTGCGTGACCATAGAACATTTCAGGTGATAAGAATTGAGAAGAGTTGAATTTTTTTCTTTTTTAATTTCGAGGGGTCTGAGTTTTCGGGGTCTGAGGTCTGAGGTCTGAGTTTCGGGGTCTGAGTTTTCGTGACGTCCCATTGGGTGTCACGAAAACTCAGACCCCGAAAACTCAGAGATCTCTTTTGAGATTCGCACATCGTAGAAATTTTTGAGGAAGTTTTAGAAGTCGTTCAACGATCGAGGAGAAAAATAATAAGTTGTGCACTCGACTAGCTTCGCGCGCCACTAACAGTGTAGAAATCGCGTACATTAGCGATATAAATTTGCGAAATACCTTCGATAAGTCTGCCATGAAAATTGATCGACGAATATTGTTCCCTTGCTCCCATGTTACAGCTTGTGATTTCCTCGGCTTCGTTGAATCTTTCTTTCTGAAATTCTCCACGAGAATCTCAACTACCCGCGATTGATGATGGCTGGACCTCCTCGCTGATTAGCCAGAAAAATATTTTTCTGGCCAATTAGCGGGACGGAATTCGACCAGTGCTGGAACTGGTTCGGTAAAAATAAGTTCCCAGGGGCTCTTCAGCTCTTGAAGTAAACTTTCGCGCCAAAAATATCGCTCGCCCGAATATCGCATCGTCCCGGCTAGTAGGGTCTCCGAGGATTCTTCTGCCTGAAGCGTCCCCGTTGTTTACTTACAAAACACGGAGATTTTTAATTGGCTGAAAAAATATGGGTCCGCAAAACGTGCATATCCAGAATGCAAGTGGACAAGAAGTAGTCCGAAATGTCAGTCATCTCCTGCCCTCAGTCTAATAGCCCGGAAAATTAGGTTGAGGGCGCGAGATGACAGAAACTTCATGCTAGACAAGTAGATATAACAAGTGTATTTGCTATACCTTCCAATTCAAATACGTTTTCCGATTGGATGAGAACGTGTCACGTGTCGTGGGTCAAAACTCACTAACTCCCTTGGGAAACAACAACTTGAATTTTCGACTAGCAGGTGATCAGGTCGTGCTCCTTGAAACCGCGGCAAAATTGTTGTGCCAGCTGGCGTCAAGCAAATAATTTTTTGGCAGTTTGTTTTCCTATTTATGAGTTGGAAAGTATAACAAAACGCTTAATGACTGGCCTCATGGGAAACAGTGAGTTTTTCTCCCCTCAATCTCAACATTTAGGGTCTCAGGGAAACTCACTATTTACCTTGGTGCCGGTCATTAAGTGCTTAATAACAGCCCCAGTTATGGATACTAAAAACATAACGGCATAACAGTAAAGTAAGCAAGGGAAAAGCAACGGCTTATTTACAACGAAAAGTTCCTCGAACAACGATGTCTTTTTAAACGTTAGAACCTTAAAGATCAATTTTTTTTTATTCATTTACTTTTTATCAGTTCCTAAAGCTACATGATGTCACCTGCTACACATAATTTTCAATGGACTCATTTTTATTTGCTTTCTTTTCATTTATCTCAACAGCGATTTCGAGTGGTTGTATTAACGGGCCAAATTTATAAAGAAAATTAAGGTTGGGATTCCACTGTGGCGGTCAATATTCGGGTCAAAACAATTGGGCCATAACAAAAAGGTTCCACTGCACTTTAATAACAAAATTATCGAACATTTTAGAGAAGACCAAATGGAATAACAAACATTGCGTTGTTTCTGGTCACTATTTCACTTTGAGTCTGTTTAAATCCCCGATCTATTTTATGGCTTATTTGTAGCGATTTTAAAACCACTCTTTATATGAGATGAGCAGCATATTGGCTATTCTTCCAACATCCTCAGTGTTTTATTGCGGTTTCAGACTGAAGAAAGGCTTTTTAAAAGATAGCTACAATTTTCACTGATGGGGTTTAGTGATGCAGCATTTGGTAGCTGTGGACCAATCACGTCGCTCGTGTTATCTTATTTAATTGAAATCTCTCGGCCCTGGAAAAAAACCAATTTTTTTTCTGTGTCGTTTCACGGAAAAAAAGGTGGTGTGGAGCCCACAGACCAAGACTGTGTGAAGTTCAGTCTTTGTTATACAGATATCAGTGGTGTTAAGCAAGGTGCAAGTTTCTTAAGTCAACGAATCTCGGAAGCCTTGAAGTTCATAATCCATTCACGGCAGGAACTATATCAAAATATTGGAATCATAATTTGTATTTTTAGTTTTTACAGTATAAAGGAGGTTATAAACATTAACAAAAGCTACTTAGCGTAGCTTAAATCTCTGACAAATTATCTCAGCACCTTTCAGGAAGGAAATTCTGCAGGAAATTATGTGCTGAAGCCAAAATATCTAACATTACGAGTACTTTTGTGTATTTAGTCGAAGTTTACCCTCAAACATTTTAACCGCGTCAGTCTGACTGCTATGGAGATTTTCAGACGAATTTAGCATCGATATACTTTTTGTTTGTTTTTCAAATTTTGAATTAGGGTCGTTTTTCCCCAGAGAACAAATAAGTTGAACACCTGTCAAAGTCTTGCTGTCATATGGCGTGTAAAAAGACTAATGAGATGCTGAAAAAACACTCGAATTTTCGACAGTATTGTTTGATTATCGCCACCTGTAATGATTAAAACCAACTTTGCCACGGGGGCGATGCATTCATGAATTCTTATAAAGCGGCAAGAAATCGGATAAACAAAAACTATAATTTTCATCAGTGAAAATGACGAATTCTTCGTGCATGCAAAGCCAGATTTTATTATTGTGACTACAATGTCTGCATGACGGTTTTCAGTTTCACTAACTCAAGTTATTACAAGCAGCAAAAGGAGCGGCCACCCAGATTTTAAAGTTTTTCAAGCTTGGCAAGAGGGAAAATTGTGACCTATCATGTACGGCTTTTTTGACACTGAAAAGCTGATGTAGGAAAAATGACAGCTTTACAGGTATAAAAGCATTTTAATGTTGTTATATAAATCAAGATCATGAGAGATTCATACTGTGCAGAGCTGCTGCGATATATGCCCTCGAGCACCGATGTTAAAAACCTTCGTTCCTCTCTAATGATCAATTGTGTCGTGAACGCCTTCCTAGCTTATAGCACGGTTATTTTGAACTGTGTAACAATCCATGCCGTGCGGAAAACATCTTCTTTGTCGACACCGTTAAAAACATTGCTGTTGAGCCTTGCTGTTTCGGATGTCAGTATTGGTTTGCTAAATCAACCGTTTTACGTCGCGCTATTGTCGAGATCTCTTCAAGGTTTCAACCTCGACTGTACTGCATACACATCTTTCACCTTCGTCATAGTATTCTTTACATCAGCTTCGCTCTTTGGAGTGATGGCCGTGAGTGTAGACAGGTACATGGCTATTCATCTACACCTCAGGTATCGAGAACTTGTAACCGAAAAGCGAATCGTGGCCGGTGTGGTTTTGATATGGGTTTTGAGCGGTTGCATGTCGTCGATCTTTCTATGGATCCCTCCTAACCTCTTCGCTCTGACATTTGCGATTGCCGCAGCAATCTGCCTCCTGTTTTCAACGTTTCTTTATTTCAAGATTTACACCATCGTCAAGCGTCACAGTACCCAGATCAGACAAATGCAGCTACAGCGAGTGAGGAACGCTTTTCGTAACGACGAACTCATGACTAATTTTGCCAGCCTTAGAAAGTCCGCCATAGGAACTTTTTATGTGTACGCAGTGTTTTTACTCTGCTATACGCCTCATGCCTTTAGCCTCATCGCCATTTCAGCTCGAGCGGGATCACCTACAGCAATGAAAGGATTGTATCTGTACTCTTTGACTTTAACTTTTCTCAATTCATGTCTTAACCCTGTTATTTATTGCTGGAAAATGAGACCCATTCGCCGGGCCGTGTTGAACAGTTTGCCATTTTTGCGAAACACTGAACGCGAAAGCTTTTGGCAAACCAGGACTTATAATGAAGAAGGAACTGTTTTTAGTCTCTGACATTTTTCTCCCCAGCAGTTTCGCAGCTGATATCAATTCAATCCAATTTGTGGGTTTATATTAGAGCGCTTACCTAACTTATAGTCAAACTTGTGTTTCCCTTGATGCTACGTTTGAATAGAGTCTTAACTCATCACAAAAAAATGCGCTTCGTGTACTGTGTATTAAACCGATTAAAATCTATGATCGCTCCCTCTGCGTCTCATTGTAAGCCTTTTTTATGCTTTTTCCTCGTTTTTATTCCCCTCCCTTCAGTTCCCCGACAGAGAATTGGCTTAAGCCTTTTTTCGAAACAATCCATCTTTTTTTATTTCTTCACGAATTTTTTCCAGCCTTTTTTCTATCCCAGAAATTAACATTTCAAGGTTTCTTTCACCTTGAATGCAATTATGTGCGCCGCGAACCATAACTGATGTAATCAACTTTTAAAAAAATGCTCGAAAATAATTGGCTGTTAATATGCGGTTCTACTTTTCACTAAATTGAACACA